GGGGGGGAGGGGAGGGAAAAAACAGTTCATCGAAACACATCTTCCTTAGCTTTGCCTTAAAAAGCTCAGTTTCGCTGTTTTTGCAAACCACAAAATTAGAAATTTTTTGGAGATCAAAGATCGCGCAAGGAAAAATCTTTATTTTTTTGAGTCTAAGTTCCAACGATGTCTTTTTTGCTGCCAGAAATTATGGAATATTATGACATATGGTGTAATTTTTCAAATCCTGAAAGCTAAAGTATCCAGGACATTAAAGAAATTCTAAATTTTCCTTTTTCTCTCTTCCTGTTTCTGAAAACTAACTTACTAAGGCAGTTAGATGTGTCGAAAATTTGTTCGAAGCTTATCGAGATTGACTTTTGAGATGTTCAAAATGCTGAATCTCGAATTTCATTTAGGAGGGCAATTTTTGATTCTCTAACTCGCATATTGTAAATGAAAACATCTACTACAGGCAACGCGCTCTCCGATGCTTCAACAACAACGATTTGCGAACGACTTTCAATTCACTAACAGTAACAATAACAGCAACATCAATGCTTCTCCGAATCCCTCTAAAAGTACTGCGAGTAGTACTACGACCACCACTTCGACAATTGACCACAGCGCAACCACTTTGAATAGCATTTTCCCTTGGATAACCACCACGCCAACAACCCCGTCAATGCACCAGCGATCGGAATCATCGTCCAACAACATCCTGGAACAGACCAGTGATGCCGATGATCCAGTTCAGGATCTCAGTCAGCGAAATGCTGACAGCGATGAAAATCAGGTACCATCTCTCTAGCTTCAACTTCCATTATTAAAACAAGAACAGCGCACACCAGCGAATCAGTGAGACCATTTGACTCAATAGAACTAAAAATTTGCTAGCAGCATTCAATCTGGACTTCCACCTATCAGCACATGAAACCTTGGCTTGCATGGATGCTGGATCTAAATCTCCAGAGATGACTATACGACCGAAAAGCATTCCCGTGAAATTTCAGCTTTCTTCTGTCTTGTCTGATTTAAATTTCCTTCTAAGTCTTTCGCATGCTCTCGCATATGAAAACAAGCATAATTGGAAGCTGGATTCAAACAGAGTCACACGTCAACTCCAAGCATTTTCGTAAAATTTCAGCCTTCTTTTTTTGTCTGGCTCTCGAGGCAGTAAATTTTCTGCCAAAACACATGTGAGAACTAGACGTACATGGAAGATGAAATTGAATTTGCAAGGGGGAAGAAAGGACCCTTTTCCTGCGTTTCACATTTTCGTTCACTAGATTCCTTTCTTTCGTCCCACTTTCCGGTTCTCCGGACTTCCAGAATTGTATCGGGATAAGAAAACTCCAAAGAAGCATCCAAATGGAATCCAGATTTTTGGCTTCCGATCTTTGGTACTTGGAATTACATCTTCGTTCCTCTTTTGCCAGTCCTTTCTTTTTAATCTGTGTACAGTTTCATTTAACTGACAGCACTAGAAATAAATGACCAATCGGCCTTGCCTACGTTTTATATTCCGGATCACCAGGTCCTTCTTTTACATTATACATCCTGAATTGTCGAGTTTCACACATTGTTTTCTCTGTCTATGCACTTCTTTTTTATGTTTTTCCTCAATTTTCTGCTCTTCATCTTCCACTTCGGCCGACTTTTTCACCCTTTTCGGATGCCTTATTGTCTTCGATTGCTTCTT